TATCTATATGATTTAAGTTCAACAGTAATGTCTAGATTTAGATACGTGAAAAAGTACAGTGACGAAAGATAAGGAATATATAAATTAAATCAGTATGTAAGGCAAGGGCTTATGCGATACGTGTTGGGTATTTTTTTTTTTAGGGTTAATAACGTCAGCTTTTTGTTTATAATGCATTACAATAAATTTAAGTACCCATGACTAAATTATATTGATTTCATTGGGGAAGTACCGATGTGGGGTGTTTAGTGTGTGGGAGGAGTGTGGTGTTGTGGAAAGTATTGCTTAAGGTGGGGTGCTAGGTGTGTCAGTGAAGTAGTCTATTTGGGGACGTTACGTGTGGGATGTGTTAGTGTGGGTAGTCAGGTGTGGGGTGTGTTAGTGTGGGTAGTCAGATGTGGGGAGTGGAAGTTTGTGGAAATTGGGTGTGGGATATGTTAGTGTGGGGACGATAGGTGTGGGGTGTGTTAGTGTGGGTAGTCAGGTGTGGGTAGTCAGGTATGGGATGTGTCATTTTGGGAAGTTAGGTGTGGTATGTATTAGTGTGGGTAGTCAAGTGTGGGTGGTCAAGAATGGTAATACATGTAAATGTAATGGGGGGGGGGCTTGGTTTTAAAAGTTTTGATCTATAAATCATAAATCATGTGTATGATTGCTCGAGCTATGATATACACTGAATACTCGTGATCTGAATTCAAAAGAAAGTCTGAAAGGTGTGTTGTATTGATTTATTTGCTTTTTAAATAAACGAATTTTAAAGTCATTATACAGTTTCAAACACCGACATTAACCTAAAGTCAACGAAGCTTTTTAACTGAACACTTCAGTACCCTTCTTAATGTCGTCACTTTTATTTCAAACCGACTCTATTTTCAACCCTGTTCTGGTCCAACAGGAATAACAAGATTTTAGTCATCCACTGCGTCACAGAACTTATCAGCAGCGGATCATGACGCCATCGGGATTGGCTCACCATTTCGGAACTCTCCGACGGGAGAAGAAACAAAGAACATTGATTGATTTTGGCGCAGGCGCGAAGGCCTTGTTACGGTGGTGAGGAGAATCAATGCTCATGTTCGAAGCTAGGGCGTGCAAGGAGAAGGGGGGAGGGGGGAGTTTGTTATCTGGGAAAATCCCGCTTTCCCCTGCTCACGATAAAGATATGGATTCTCTTTGTCTAATAATTTACCCGATTCTTTTTAATTTTTTTTTTCAGCTTTTTAAACGAATTAGGCTGTTTCTTTTTTTAACAGTGTACCAAAAGACTTGGTCTAAACAAGCAAATCAATATTTGAAACTCGAAATAGAATTCTGGATGAGAAGATGCGATCGATTCGCTTTACTAGTTACTCACGTTTTTTTTTTTTATTTTCACTTTCTTTCATCATCTAAACCTTACTCATATTGACACAAAGACTGTTGGTCATTTACTTCCGGTTTAAAAAAAACTCATCTACTTCCTGTTTTGGTCATTGTGCTAGTATCGCCGTGACGTCAGTACATAGGATTGGTGAACACTAAGCTTATAACTTGTAGTTATACAGTAATAAAAAAAAGTAAAAATAGAACATTTTATAAGGACGAATGCAGGCTAATATAAATAGGAAAATTAGCGAAAAAATCGTGCGGTGATTACCATCAACACATTTCCTGTAACCGGTCGACATTAATTTAAGTTTCTCCCAAATTTCATCCCCCACCAGTGACGAGGTCACCGAACCTGGAAGTAAGGAATTACAGCGTAGTAGCCAGATCCGTGATCTGGTACCATCCTGTTTTAGTTTTACACCGGTTTCCCTCATTTGCTCCACACCACCATTTATTTTACAGTAGAAATACATATAGCTAAACACGCATATGAATATATATATATATATATATATATATATATATATATATATATATATATATATATATATATATATATATATATATATATATATATATATATATATATAAGTATATATGTGTGTGTGTGTGAGAGAGTATGTGTGTTTACTGTAAAGTAAACCGTTGTTCACAAGCCTCCATACTAACGATGCCCCCACCTACCAAATGCTCACACAACCATTTACAGTAGAAATACATGTTGCTTAAAACGGACATACAATTATATACATGTATATATGCATATAAAGATCACCCCCCCCCCCAATCACCACCACCAAATGCTCCCACTTCAAAAGATGAGAACTAAAACTTTTCTAAGCTATAAAAATAAAAACCTTTTCACTCTTTTTGATGTGAAGCAACATAAAGGTGAGTGAGGATGGGTTGTTACTTGGCAACAGGTTGTTGTGTGGGCGTAGTCTCACAAGGTTTAGAAGAGTTTGATGTGCATTTCTACACAAAACAGCTGGGATGTGGATATGGGCCGGGTTGTATATGTTGAGAGGGTGTTCGTGTGTATGTGTAGTGTGACAGACTGGACGGGATAAGAATCGATGTATGGTAACAACACAACAGCTGATACCACTGTTGGTGTGTTTGTGTGTGCGGTGTGTGTGTGGAGGAGAGAGGGGGGTATTTCGGCCTTGGCATAAAGCACACACTCTTATTTAAGCTCACTCACTCAGCTAAACACCATACCCATCAGTTTTGTCGTGAGGCAAGCCTTTTTTTTTGCGGTACTGTATTAGATAACCAAAGAGAAAGTCGTATTTGAGTCACACGTTTCGTTCTGATAACTTATCAGCTTAAATGTATATATATATATATATATATATATATATATATATATATATATATATATATATATATATATATATATATATATATATATATATATATATATATTTATATATATATATATATATACATATATACCAGAAATAATTACTCAAAGATCAAACTGTTAATTGGTTGTTGTTTTTTTCCTTACACCTCTAGAGTCGACGGTCAAGTTGTGTGCAGTCTTGCCACACCCTCCTTAAGCTTTAGATCCCAACTTTAAAAGTAGGCTAATTACTGAATTATACACTACTTTGGACCGTGTTAAAAGAAAAATCTGGGCGGTTTTTGTTTTTTTATTCCGTGTGTGTACGTTAGAGCGAATGGCTGATTTGGCGTCAAGGTGACTTCTTTTTAATTAGCGTTTCGGCCTCCAGTCCCAATGTGGTTAAAGGCTAAACTGTAGGGTCTTTGTCTCTAGTGAGTCTAAAGGTGCAAGGCCTGGGTGAAATTGACTATTTAATCAAGTTTGAATGCCCTTGGTATGCATACATTGAAGATTGCGTTCTCGGTTAGCATAATTATCTTAACATGTCTGATTAATTTCTATTCCAATCACGTGACTACCCTTTTAAATTAGTCGGTTGTTTGTCACTGACCTTATCCAGTCTCTTCTACGCAGTGGCGTAGCCAGGATCGTCTCAAGGGGGGGGGGGGGGGTTCCAATTTTTACCCGGGGACAAACTTTCGATTTGCACCCCCCCCCTAACCCCCCCCCCCCCCTGCCTACGCCACTGCTTCTACGTATGCACCTAGAGGTTCTTGTATGCCTACTAACAATTAGGGTTAAATAAGATTGCTGTTGTTTCATGCAATTTTAAAGGGTTTCGCTCCGATTGTTTCAAAAGACTTTAGACCCTCCCCCCCCCCATTTCTCCCTACCCGCCGCCGACACATAATTCACGAGACGCTACAGTCCACCCCCCCCCCCCCACACACACACACATCAAATCCCAGCACACGAGCCAGGTGTTTTGGGGGAGGGGGGTCGCATCTCTCTAGCTGACGACAGATGGTCAGTTTGAAATGTTTGTGTTTGAAGTAATCCAATAGGCGGTGTGTGAGGTGAGGGGGGACGTGAGGGGGGGGGGAGACGTCGAATAAACTAAATGATGGCATCCTTTATTACAGAGCTGTCACCCCCCCCCCCCCACCCCACACACACATACACACACCCATACACGTATAGATTTTTACATTAATTTACATGCATATATCCAAGGAAAATATACAAGCAGGGGCTTAGTTCGATGGATTTGGTAGGGTAGTTATCAGTCTAGGATACTCGAATTTTTAAGTAAGTAGTACAAATTGAAATGTACTTATATCAACGGTCTGCGGCAAAAAAAAAAATAATTGGGGATGGGGATAAATTAACCTAAATATCTTGTAAAGAACATACTCGATAAGAAATAGTTAAATAGCTAATTTAAATTTTAGTTAACTGGCAGTAGAAGAGGTGTGGTACGGGTGTTTAAAGGTGGTGGGGGCGGGGGTGATAGTGCGAATACTAAGGTTAGTTTTAGCGAAGGCAGGTGTGATTTGTGTACATTGATGTAAGGCGACAGGGATTCCCTCTATTCCCCGTGGGGCTCCCCGACGGGCGGGGCTTTAAAGAAAATAAGACTAGACAATGCGGACTTTTTAGAACAAGAAGCTTAATTATCTAAATAGTTGTAACTTTTTTTTAAAATAACAAATAATGGTATTTTCTCCGTCACCTAAATAACCTATTTACTTCCTCAGTTTTGCCCCGTTTTGGAATTTACGCCATGGTTAAGTTAAATTACGACGGTTTTGTTTTCTCCAAAATCTATTTCACACTGGTAAAGTAAATATACAAAATTTCCTGTTAATTCTAACTTGTGTCATTTTGGGCTACGTACAGAAATAAAGAAAATTGCCGATTGCTCATCAGCTGATTGGCCTATACATAGTTGATCTATTTTTGGCTTTGTACTAGAGTCCTACCAGGAAAAGAAGTAGTATTGGAAGATACCACTAATGTGAAACTCCGTGCTCATGATCTTCAACAGTACTGCGAAAAAGGAAAACAATTATAAATTATTTTCTAACTCTGGAAAGTTTCCTTGTATTATTAATGTTAACTAACGAACGTAGAATTGCCTTGCCTATATGAAACCGCTTGCAATGAATATAGGGCACAGTCCTAAACTGCGACACTGGAAATTCCATCCATATTTAGCTTAGGCCTACCGACCAAAGGAGCTGACTGGGAAAATCCCAGCTCTCCTTGTATAAAAGCGCCCGCTGCGTGTGTTAACCAGTCAGACCAGTAGTGAACGCGCAATAAGCTCAGGCTATAATAAAAGGATTTATTCGTTTTACAGTGCGCAAGGACTTCGCTAGCAGCGTTTGTTAAATTTTGCTCTGTAAGTATTGATTGGACTTACTTCGGTGTAATGATGACTTCTAACTAGTTACATAGACACGTTAAATATATTAAGGTATCATTTTATTTCATAATGTTAGCAATTCCAGTAAAATTCAAAGCGAATATTGCAGTTGGCATTGCAGGGTTAAGGCAAGGGGGTCGAACGCTGCAATACGTCAACCGCCATCTTTTAACTATAATTTTCTAGCTTCATTATTTTAGTCTACTTGCCTTATGCAACGATATTTAAAGTTTAATACATGTTTGCATTGGTTTTTTTTATTCTAATTGTGTGCAAGTGTAAATTAAACTTTGCATGTTTATAAAAATTTAGATCAGACTGGGAAACTACTTTTTTTAACCGCGCGTAGGCCGGAGGCTGTTAATGTGTTATTCGCCCCGATCATATGTAGATCTACCTTGTTTTGAGGTTATTAGGCCTGGGTGCCTAGATTTTCTAGATCTAGTTTTACTGACTCTCTAGATTAAGATGTAGATTTATAAACTGTTAATCTAGATCTAGGTATTATCTAGAAATCTAATACACTATAGCTATTCAATGTTATTGAATGTGCGTGATTTAATCATTTTTAATGTAAGGGTAAAAACTAGTTTCAAAGGTGTAAGAAGCATCTCTATTGCCACGAATATTTTTTTTTTAAAATACATCTAGAATCTAGATCTAGATCTAATTTTAAAATATGATAGATCTAGATCTACATTTTTTTTTAAATACTTAAATTTTTTGCTTCCTTCTCTTAGTCTTGTTGTTTCATTCACAAATTGTAGAATTGTATATGAATTTTAAAATGAAAATATTAAAATAATGATCTTAAAGCAATATTCGTGGAAATGGTACACATAATGTGACATATTTAATTATAAAACAGTATTTTTAGTACACATATTATAAAATAGTGTTATTATTATATATCATCATAACAATTTTCTTTTTCTTATTGCAGAGATATTTCTAGAGACTGAAAATCTGCAGATGTTTAGTTCAAAAGACGAAATGCAGCACAGTAGCTGCGACAAGTTTTCCAGCTCCAGGCTTCACCCAGGTGAAGAAGACCCCCTGGACTCTGCCTACTTTTCGGAGGAGCGCCAAGACTCTGCATATAGTTCCATTCCGCATACACATAATGCAGATACAGAGAAGGTACCTCATGGTTCGGGAAAGCTCAATTCAATTTCAGACAGTTTTGGTCAGTTGAGCTTAGATGCATCCCAAACTAAGCCAGCCTGTGTGGATACAACCAGCTTAGAATCTGGCTGCTATAGTATACCAGAAGAAATCCCTGCAGATCCTCCAAGTGACTCATGGTCTAAGGAGATCAAATTTGTCATTCCAATTGAACAGCGTGTGCAACTTTTTGAAGGCGACAGAGATGGTGACAACAAACTTCATCTTAGTATTCTAAAAAACAGCACAAACTTATCACTTCTCATCATTAAACTTGCACCAAGCTACTACTTTTTGAACTACTGCAACTTTCTCAGACAAACGCCACTTCATCTTGCTGTCCTTACAAACCAGCCTACAGTTGTAAGGAAATTGCTGTGTGCAGGAGCTGAGGCTACTGCACAGGACAGAGATGGTAACACAGCTTTGCATCTGGCCTGCAGAGAAGGCTATGAAGACATTGTTAAACAACTTTTAATGCCTGTGCAGTATGAAGAAACACAGGAAAACACATATGACATTCCTTTTCAAAGACTACCTCAGGATATGAGTATCAGGAACTTTGAAGGAGAAACATGTCTTCATATTGCAGTGCGACATTCACGCATAAGGATAGTTAAAATGTTATTGGACTCTGGTGCAGATATTAACATTGGTGATGGGAAAAGTGGTAGAACAGCCTTGCACATAGCATCTGAGCAAAATCTTGTCGAACTTGTTCTTTTGATTCTCAGACGAAGTGACACTGAAGTAAATGTAAAAAACTATGCTGGGCTTACCCCAGTGCAACTAGCATATGGAAGGGGACATGAGAAAAGTGTTGACCTTATTTGTAGGCATATTGGAGCATATGATGTATCTTTAAGTGACAATTCTGATGCTGAGGACTATTCTGATGATGACATGTCTGTTGACTTGTAAAAATTATTTTATGTATTTAAAATAAGTTTTTCTTCAAATTGTTGTGACACCCTTGTGATTTGAGAATTAGGATAAGTATGAAAGAACATGAATGGAATTAAGTTACTTAATCTAATGTCATGAAAGTTTATAAAATATCCATTGTGCAGCAACATATACATTTTTTTATTATATTTTAATTATGCATTTCTAATGTCTAATTGGATAATTCACAAGATATAAAGTTTAATTTTCAATCTCATATTATCCTGTGACTTATTTCAACTGAAACTTGCCTGTGGATTGTCCTACATCGAATCCTGAGGATAGTGTATGCATAATATTAATTAGTGGTGGAATACCTGTGGTGTGAATGTTAAATTATTGTTCCTAATTCTCTAATCCCAATGGTTTTCCTCTTGTTTATACTTAATAGTACACCATGCAATATTAGGTATTAATACAAGGGGATTATTTGTTTGTAAATTATTTGCTTAGTGTTTTTTTTTTTTTTTTTTTTGAATTATGCAAATAAGTGTATAATTATTGATCATCTGTCTAGAGAAATGTGTATTATTTCCCTAAAATTTGAATCTACTCATACATTTGCTTCTTTCACTGTAAATTATGTTTTTTCCATTGACAATAAATTTTTTGTTGATAATGTAACTGGTCTTTTATAGTTTATTTTTACACATTTCATGTGGTTGATTTATCACCATCTTTTCACTCACTATAAGACAAGGAATACTGTAACATAACAATTATTTAAAATGATATCAAAAGATTTATTTCATTGGTTTAATGAATACAAAAAACCATATGGAAAACAGAATATTTACTAAGTTGATGTTCGCCAATTCAAACCAGATTGAATGGTTATACAGTATCATAAAGCATTTGGTTTGCTACATAAGAAATATTTGCATCATATCATGTTTGTTTTATTAAAACAATGTAGTAGGGAGTTAAGCAGTCATTAACAATTATTCTTAAAAATAAATCTATAATGACATAGGAAATACTTATTATTCATGATTAAAACTAATAAAAGCACGCATAACCACCTCAAAGTATTTTTAAAAAGGCTCAGTTCTAAAATAAGTTAGTTCAAAAAGTTGCAGTTTGATAAAACAGGCAATCATACTTCTTCAGGTTCATTTAAAAAATAGCCATAAGCTAACATCAGATACAACAACTTCAGGTAAACACAACACACTGATGACACTGACACATCATAAACAAGAAAAATTAACTGAATCATACAGACACATCATACGAAAAGCGGATAAGTGAATGTGGATATCAATCAGCGAGTATTTTGCTTGGTCATCACTAGTTCTCTAACATTGTTTTTGAATTCTTCCATATTTCTCTGATGGTATTCTTTGGATGACTGGAGGAAGAAAAAAAATAAACATAATTACACAGGGGACGGAGTGGTCTAGCGGTAGAGAGCTGGACTGCTAACCAGTAAGTCTCGAGTTCATATCCGGGTTCAAGTCAGTAGACCGTCCTTGAGTCCACCCAACTCTGATGGGTACTTAACTAACGTTAGGGAAAGTAAAGGCGGCTGGGCATAGTGCTGACCACACTCTACTACTTCACTTGCCCTAGAGACCGTCAGGTTTGAAAAGGGAACTTTTTACACAGGGTATGATGCAATCAGGACTTGACTGCTTCAAACAGAAATAGCTATATGCAAAATTGAAAAGGAAACTCTTTTTATGGTGAAATTCAAACCTGTATAGTCTATAGGGTAAGTGAGGTAGAGATCACCTGTTTCTACGAGTTCTAGCATATGAAGGGATAGTGTAATCAGCACTATGCCCAGCAACCTTCACTTTCCCAATTGGTGTGAGTCAGGTGCCCATCAGCGCTGGGTGGTCTCAGGGATGTTCTACTGACATGAACTTACACCTGACTTCGAACTCAAGACTTTTGGCCACATAGTCAGAACTTAACCATACCAGCACACATAATCAGCTACTAGTCTTTGACATAATAAAATCTAATCTAATGACTGCATAAGACCTTTGACATTACAAAACCCCTAAACTTTGGTGTGTCATGTTACATATTCTCTCACTAACAAGTGACTAACTTTGAACAATAACAATACACGTATTGAATATAATTGTTTTTAAAAATAAATAAAGATTAAAAAGTCTACAGCACCATATGAATATGACCAAGTAAAACTATTAGGTTTAGCTGTTAATTTGGATTCAGAAATCAGATTACAGGTAAAATACAGTTTTTGGACATGCTAAATGATATTTTGGAAGTTAGTTTTTCAACCATTACTCTTGTTCAGTTATCATTTAACAATGTTCAGATGATTTAAAGACAACAGAAAATGTTTAGGTATTCAGTGCCAAAATTAGAGTTAGTCACTGAATAAATCTACTTTTGAATTTCATTTATTTAATTACCAAGAGCTAACATGTTGCTATCATTAACTTTACAATTAAAATATTAAATTTAATGTTTGTTTTGTTATAGTTTTTTAACATATATTTTCAAACTACCAATCATCATGGTATTTTAAATTATTAGAAAATCTAAAAATATAAGTGTTGAGCAGAATAAAACAAAATGGGAAGGAAATTCCAGTTGTTAACAAGGACAATCCAGATTTATTTATAGATATAGAAATTTCAGTTGAATAACAATCATAAAAAGATGTGATAAAGCTGAACTACTGAAATCAGCTTGCAAAGTAAATGTGATTAGGTAATTGTTATCTTATTTGTGCCAATTTTTTATTTGATGCGGATAGTGGTAAAACTTGTATTACATATGATATACTATAAGGTTACTAATTTTCTCCTTAAGTTAAGGATGACTAAAAGCAAAAATTAACCTTACTCAAACTTAAAAGCTAAGTTAAAGAATATAATTAAAAAGACATTAATATAAGTTGTAACCTACCAGGGGAGGGGAGGAAGTGGAAGCACTGATTTAGTTTTATCCATATTCCAAGGGAGCTAATCATTACTATTATAGCAAAAAAGAATTATTAAGGAGTTAACTCCCTAGTGTTCAAACATTTGCAGCTGTAAAAAAAAACCTTAGCAGTAATACAAAAACTGAAGCCATATTGGCCTATCGATTAATAATAGTTTAGGTAGTGTATACTTGCCATACGATATTGGCAATAAACATTATCATACAGGATTAACTGAGAGATATACACAGAAATGTAAGTCAATGCGCAATATTTATTGAAAAAAGACCACACTAAAAAAGTTCAAAAAATGCACTTAAAATAAGTTTTAAAAAAAAAGGTAATTCCTTCAATTACAATAGTAAAAATGTTGATCACAAGACTGGACCACAAGTTAAAGCTAGTTAAGTAGGAGTGACGTTCTCATTACTTAACATTATTTATTTTTTTAACATACCTCTAGAACTTTAATTTTTTCAGCAAATGTCTGTTGTTTGTTTTTTAAATCTGTAATTATTTCATCCTTGCTTTGAAACAAAAACCTAGTGGAAATAAATTAAAAAGCAAGTGATTATTCCATGAAAAATACATTGTTATAAAATATCATAGAATTGTAAAGGTTGAGAGTATGTATCGGCAAAGGTTTTTGCATAAATAAAAGATAGATACTTTTTACAAGGTAAGCAAGGTTGCAATATTTTAGTGTAATATGTCACTGTAGTGCAATAAATCATGAAATTAAACCATGCAATACTGTCAAGTTATTTGTCTACATCTGTCATAACTTGGGAATCAGAACCTCATGAAGAATATAATAATGGCTAGGGAAGAAAATGGTTGTTGAATCCCTCTCACAGCATAACATACATATACTTTAATCGTGTTACTCTAACTTAAAATACATAATTATAATGATTGAAAAAAAATAATTTAAAACAAGTAAAATAAATAAACATTATTTTTGCTTTTATAGCAAAATGCTATATAAAACTAAAACAGACATTAAAAATAATTTGAAATAGAATTTACATTCTCCCAATAGTCTTGTAAACAGGAACATCAGATGGTAGACTGGTCACCTCAGATTCAACAAGCTGGGAATGCTGAATTTTCCTGTTTAAGCTTTCAATCTGTGCATTGGATAGGCGGATCTGATTCTCTGCTTGAATCTTTTTCATGGACAACTCAGCAAAAGCCTAAAATAAATTATTTACAAATAGTGATATATTATTTACAAGAAAAGATACATTTATAAGTGCTGAGTGCTGGAATATTCAATAAATAATTACAACTTAAGCAATATCAAATCAACCAATGCAGTTTATTTTATGGGATTCACTTAATAAATGGGGCATAGATGTTTATGGTGGTGACAAAACTAGAGTGGTCAGCAGACAAGCTGGTTTTATTTAGATCAAGCATCAAGGTCCTTGGTCATTGCCAAACTTAGTTTAACTTGTGAATGCTACAGATAGATTGACATGTCTGTTACTTATATTTGAAAGACTTCTTTTAATTTAATAATTTAAAATATATGTCTGAATATTCTTCATGTCCATTTCACCTGACCTATATCAACTAGTAGTATGTCTTTCACCTAAAAGAATTTTCAAACATAATCTTTAGGCAGTTTAACAAGAGTAACTGCTGATTCCTGCTAACTGATATACATCGAGGGTTTACGTTTTTACTCGCTGGTCAAAGTAATACTAAAAGTATTATTTTTTTTAGTATTATAATTTGATTAAATTGCATAAATATATTATTCATTATATTTTCAACATCTTGACTAACCACAGGCATCCTTTTTTTTCCTATGTAATTAGTATGAGTAAAAATCTACTTGCTAAAAAAATAGCTGATGGGGCTCCACATCAACTTATCGAGGAGAGAAAACTAAAAAAACAACTGACTTGCAGTTTTTTCTTGGATGGACTATGGAAGAAAATCGGGCTGAAATCAGAGTCAACAGTCCATACAGCCTTAACAGTTTGACTTGTAAGTAATACTTAATTGAGTTAATTGAAATTCTGTCCAACACTTAGTAACAAAGAACCAGGTATCAATGAAAAGCCATCAATCTACTCTAGCTAACTCATATGGTTTAAGATACAATAGTAAAAAATAATTGTACCATGCTACAACCTAACTAAACTTAGTCCACAGGTAGTAGCATGAGAAATTAATTTTTTACTATTGTATACCAAAACCAAATAACTTAGCTAGAGGGAGCAATATTATTCTTTCCATTGATACCAAATTTATATTTCTAGTATTAGGCTATTAGAATAAGATACAGTTTTTTCTATTTATTTTTCTATTCTATTTTATTTTTCTTATATAAGTCTATAAGATCTAACATTTGACCTATTACTGTACTGTCTTTTTACAAGGACTTATGGACTTGATCTAGATCTTTATCTTTTTTTATTTCACCTACGTCTAACATTTTCTGTCAACACTAAATTGCTAAGATGAAAAAAATCAGGCAGTTCTGATATATATTATTAGATTGTGTTTGACCAGATTTCAAAGCACAGGCAAATTATGATACTACTCTATATTATAGTTTCTAGATCTAGTAGTAGTAGTTGAACTTACTTAGATCTACTTAGTCTACAACTAAGTAGATTTTCTTTAATCATTTGAACCCACGGTACCGCTTTATCGGTCTGAGCTTTAAATCTCCATGCCCAGACGTACCAATAAAGCGGTGTTAGACACCTTACCCCAGATCAGCAGTCTGTACATGAAATTGCGATATTAAAAAAGTATGTAATTGGTATTGTTCGACTAGCGGTTATTTTCTGTCATGGCTGCGAACATTAACAAAATTTTTGCTCTGTTTATCATTTACAATGGAAAGACGATTTTAAAATTCCAAAACCAGCATTCTACCTATGTCTACATCTACCTATGTCTAAAAGAAGTGTCTACCAACAGTACACGGACGACCCGGTTAATTGAAATAATTAAACTAAATAGGCCTAGGCCTATTCATAATCATAGTTTATATAATATATATTTTATATTGAGAGTCTGTTGTGTGTACATTTAACTCAGTACCTCACAGGGACATGGGGATTTTAGGTTCAGGAGCTAAGTCTGCTAAGGGTTCAATTAAGTTCAAAATTTCAAAAGGGTTAGCGGTTAGTTAGGCCTACGTATTACTACGTACCTTGGTAATAAAATCGTTTTAGGTACGTAAAATCGCCCGCGGCTAGTAATGTACGAAAAAGTTACCTCATTGCCAAGGCTTTAATAGAAGTATATTGTGATATATTTGTGTCAAATATTAGAGATAAATGAATAATTAACCTAAATCAATGGCTAAATATAACAATATAGGCAAGAAATTAACTTAAAACTTTAAACAGTAGTGTTTGCGAGCAGGATTTGCTATATAAAAAGCAGCAATCTGTAAGTTAGAGTGGCTTCCCCTGAATCTTGCACTATAAGTTTACAATAAAAAAAATAAACAAGATGGCTGCTATAGTAAATGAGCATGGTTGCATCTGTTGGAAACATCGCTAGCCTTCATTTATTACTGAAAAGTTGTAATTCAGTTGTTTAAAAATTGGTACATAGATATAAAATATAAATGAAACTTTGAAACATTTTTTTAATTTTCAAAACTAAAATCCTCCTTTAAATGTGAAATAATTATTAAAATTTAAAGAGTCACCTGTTTTTCACATTACTAGATCTAGTCGCGGGCGATTTTACGTACCTAAAAAAGGCTAAAACGGTGCAAAATGATAGATTAGGCTACCCATACACCTGGTACTGGTACACCTTTAATAATTTAAATTGATATGATTTTTTACATTGGTAGCATACTGACACATGCATTTAAGAACAAAATTTAAAGGATGTTAATTAAAATTTTAGATCTTATTAAATCTAGATCTTATTAACAAAAGAAAACAGAAAGTGAGCCGTTGGAATGTGGTCTACTGGAACGACATACTCGTACTATCGATAACAGAATAACAGGTATTTCAAAGTAATGCCGAAACTAAAGTAGAATAGATCTAACAATAACTGTTCGAAATAAGAGGTAAATTTAATGAATTATTTTAACTTGATACAGTTACAATTAAGCAGGGAAAAAAGAATAAGAAGGACATGAAATAAATGCAACATATTAGATTTCTATAAGTACACACGTTAGCAAGTTCAGGATCTGTGATTTGGCCGGTTGCTGCCATTTTGGATTTAGAGTAGATAACTCTAAATTTGTTTCGTTACTAGACTAGATCTAGATCTAGTCTGCTTTAAAAAACAATATTTCAAATCTTTATCTCCCTGGAGACAGGCCTAGCAACATTATTTGCCTAACTTTTATTCATTAGGCAGGCGCAGGATCCACACAAGGGAAAGTTCTCATATTTAAAAACAACCGAATAATATTTTCATTTGCAGTAGACTATTATTTGTGTCTAGTAATAATATTTTTTTATTACTGTGTTAGCGTAAAGAGACTTAGTACCTATTGGTTTTCAAACTTGAGCAGTCAAAACAGGCACCCATCGTCATTTCACCATTCCTTCAAAATCCTACCACCTCACAAACAGTGTTTCTTCCAAACTTTTTTCTCCGGGGGGGGGGGGGCACTTGATATTTTCGGGGGGGGGGGGGGGCGGACACAATTTTTTCCGGGGGGGGGGGGACACTAGTAAAAGTATATGTTTTCTATATAAAGTTCAGTTCTTTCGGGGGGCGGTAGACTTTCTTCGGCTCTGCCCCCCCCCCCCACACCCGAAGAGATGCCTGGAAGAAACTCTGCTCATAAAGACTGTGTAGCAAATAAAGAATAGGAGCAGGTATTAAAAAAAAAAGATAGACCTATATAACACATAAGGTTTCCATTTTCTGACCTCTTTGCTTAGCTATGAGGTAAAATAAATCAGACCCATCCGCTCTCCCCCACAGCTAAACTTGTCATTGCTAATGTATAATAATGAGACGCCACTTCTCCACCACCCACCCAACCGTCCTTGAGCTAAACTAAATCATTGGTTGCAAAGTTGTACAAACCCACGCCCCTAGAGCTAAACTAATCTCTTGTAAAGTTGTTGTTTGGACAGACGTCTCCTAGCGCTAAACTAATCATCGGTAATGTTTGTTTGAAATAGAATTCTCTAAATTTGGAATCACCGCGTCGAATTACTTTCTGATAAGCAAAGGGAGACAAGGTGGTGAAAAATAATTTTTAACTCATTAAATAGGTTTTGGAATATTTGTTCAACCTACTTCGAGCATTTGTTTACAAGAAATGATTAAATCGGAATTGATTAAGTATTTTAAAGATAATATTTAGACAACTTGTTTAAAAATTGTTTAAATTATTATTTTTTCAACAAAAAAAGTTGTTTTACGTCTGTTTTAGTTAGCAGAATTACAGCAAAAAGATGTTACGTTCGTGCACACAGACCCTTTCCCTTTCTCTCCCCCTCTCTCACACACACACACTGACCCCCCCCCACATACACACATACACACATACACACAAACACTATAACACATCCACAGAGTTTCTTTCAGGCATCTCTTCAACCGCCCCCGAACGAAATAGATTTTATATACAAAATAATATATACTTCAACCAGAGGCGTAGCGACCCTTCCCGGCGCCCGGGGACAAACTTTCAATTTGGCGCTCCCCTCGGAAGCAAATTTTTCAAACGTTTGATTTGCACCCCCCCCCCCCTCAAACTATTTATACTGCAAAAATGCAGCTAAAATGTCATTTTAATTTGTTTTTATGCCCGGGGACATATGTACCCCCCCTGCCCCCCCCCCCTGTGACGGAAATGTACCTCCCACCCACAAATAAAAGTTTCAAATACCCCTTTCTAGCCCCTCCTCCCACCCCCGGAGAAAAATGTCCGAAAGAAACACTGCACATACATATATATCGACTCGCGAACATACACCTACTTGTTAAAACTGTGAGTACATTATTGATTTTACTTGAAACCTGAGACGACCAGAGACTGAGATAAGCTGCCATTCATGAGCCTGTTTGGTTGTTAGGGGAAAAAGATGTGATTGTTTACATAGTCTTGTCAGTAGCGGCGGTGTGTAGATATAGTTATGATGAGCAGTCGTTAGGCCTAGTTTGAAAGGTAGTGGTTGTGGTGTGTAGATCTAGGTATGAGTGGTCGTTAGTTTGAAGGGTAAAGACATTTTCTGGAAAAGATGTTATCTATAGAGGTTTAGCTAACATCAGCCGGGTTGTGATAGTGTGTAATCCTTGTGATGAAGTGTGTTGTTGTTGTTGATGTTCATGTTGTTGTAGTGTGTCTGTGTGTGTAAGGCGTGTTTTTTTTCGCATGTGTGTTCGTGGTTTATAGAACTAGATATGTGCGGACGTTTGAAGGGGACAGAATGGTTTGAAAAGATGGGGTCTATAGAGGCTTACCTAACATCAACATGGTCGTACTGGTGTATAAGCCTTGATGAGCAAGTAGTGTGATGAAAGGGGGGGGGGTTACTAATGGTGTGTGTGTGTTTGCGCGCATACGTGGTAGTGTGGTTTGGTGTAATGCGTGTTTTTTTTTTTTCTCAAATCAGCGGTTTTGGGTTTGTGATTTTAGTTGTACGTGCCATTGTGTCTGTGCGTGTTCTTTGTGCGCCTGTGGATGTGTTCGTGTGTGTGTGTGTGTGATGTTTACGATTGCGTGTTCGTATGATGCATGCGAATGTGTGTGTGCGTGATTGTATGTGTGATTGCGTGTGTTTGTGTGTAATGCATGCGACTGTGTGTGTATGTGCGCGCTGCTCTGTGTGTGCGCGCGTGTGTGTGATGCATGCGATTACCTGTGTGTGAAGTGCGTGCGTGGTTGGTGTTTTTGTTTCTCTTTGTGTGCGTGTATTTGTGCGTATTTGTGCGTATGTTGATGCTTGCCCGTGGGTGCAGATGTCTGTGGATGAAAATGTGGACATTGACAACAACTCACTCTTGCAGGGGAGGTAACTTTGCTGGTTTCCACCCAAATACTTAATTGGACAATTAGTTATGTTAATAACTCCTAGATGACTCAATTAAACGATGTACTGCTCAAATGAGGTATAATTGATTGTGTAATTAATTTGTATTCACTCAATTTTATATCAATACTAAAACATTTAAGTATATAATTTCTAATATGGTTAATGGTTGTTTTCGCCAGTGCCTGCGACTATGTGTATGTGCATGCGTATAATATGAGTGTGCATGGGAGTGTGTTTGAGTGTGTTTGAGTGTGTACTGGAGTGTGTAAGTGTAAGTGTATATAGGAGCGTTTATGTCAGCAATGTTTACTACGCGGAGGGGGGGGGGGGTGCAAACACAGTTATGGCTAAGGTGTAATATGTTTCTAGTTTAATTTAATATTTTTTTCTATTCTGTCCGGAGTGGGCGCGGGGGGGGGGGGGGGTGCGGACGTGCGGTAAACCTGCTCCAGTGAGATGTCTGAAAGAAACGCTGTTGAGTATGCATGCATGTATTCACTGGAGCTTGTGAATATTGTTCTTTCTTTAACTCATATTTAGAAAACACGAACATGAACAAAAGGATGGTTCACGCACTTTTCCATAAGGAGAACAGGGAGCGCGTTTTAATTGGTGGCAAAAGGAAGCTGTTGAACGTAAACAATTGTCACGTGAGCTGGAGATCAGGTGACATGTTTATATTTGTCAACAAAGGCTTGTTTCCATTGTTGTCAAGTTAAAAAGGGGAAGACAACACGGATAGAATGACAGTAAAGTATCCACAGTGTATGGGGTATTTTTATTTTCAGAATGGCCTTGTGGTTAATCTTCCTTTGTTGAAACACAGTACTTCATTGCCAATAATATCTCTTTAATGTTTCCAGTTCATGCTACAAATATACGTTACATATCTCACAAAATGACACTCAGGAAATCGAAACAAGTTTGAATGAGTAAACCGTCAAAGGGAGATTAACTGTTTTTAAAAACTCGTATTCTTTATACATATGTGATTATCAAAATATTCTAGGTTTTTTTCTATTTTACTTATTTATCAACACAATCTGTAAAAATAAATAAATAAATAAATAAAAAATTTAAAAAAAAATGTAAAAAAAAATAATTGATAATGTGTTAATGTAGTTAAAATGAAAACAGGCTCGCCGTAGGTTAAGCTGACCTTTATAAATCATTCAGACAAAGTGACTCTCGCATAGGTAAAACATCAATAAAAAATGTTTCTGTAATGGCAAAAAAAATATTTCTAGCACTCTTCATATGCTAATGTAAATACGCCGATTTTAAAAAAAATAAAATTCTTATTTGTTTCAGCTATACATTTTATTTATTTGTAATTATTTTTTTGAAGCCCATAAAATGTAAAAAAAAAAAGACAAGAAACAAAAACCGTTTTTAATCCATGTCAACAAAAAAGATTTCAGTCATCAAGGCCACTGCCATTCTATATCGTTTTTTAACCTCGTAGGTTTTAAGAAAATAACAACAACAAAGATATTAAAATATCCACCACAACGACCAGTGTCCGAGTTTATTTGACCTGTGAAACCAAAATTGAATTAGTGAACACTAAATCAAGTGTGATTAACATTTCACGAAGAAGAGAGAAAAAATCTTTCATCAGCAACTCGTCGAGATCAGTAACCATTTCTGTAGAGAGTATTCAGGGCGAGTCTGATACATTCCCCGCCTCCCCCGGGGCTTATTTTCTTGCACCCTGACAAGGGCGTGAGAGTTCTCGTTGCCATGGAGTGACCAGCTGACCTGTTCAAATATTTATAGACACGCCTGGGGTTAGATTATGAATTGTAATATTAAACTACCAGATAGAATTGCCTTTGTAACTCAATAGACGGTTAAACTTTCCGATACAATTGTTATTGTAACAAGTCATTAGTTAACTTTCTTTTAGAATCACTGAAATCACTAGTTAACTTCATATTGGAATCAGTAAATTCTTTAGCTAACTTTCTTAGTTGTAGGTTTGTGATTTTTGCTGAATGTGCGTTTGTGGCTGTGCGTGCCCTTTTTTTTGCGCCTGTGCATGTGTTTGTGCGTATGTGTGTGCGATGTTTACGAGTGTGTGTTAACTTCTTTTTAGAATCACCGAACTCATTATTAAACTTTTTAAAGAATCATTGATGTCATTAGCTAACTGTTGTTGTTTTTTTAATAATCTTTTCAGTTTTTCCCTATATCGATACACATTATGTTCCACAATCCTAACGACACGATTTATTTCTTCTCCGTAATGTCTCATATATTCCCCCTTCAGAAATAATTA